ATCCATTTTGGGGATCCCCCATTTATGGAAACCCCTATTTGGCTTCCGGATGTCATTCTGTTTGGGCCTCACACAAATAAATCCAACATCGTGTCAACCACCTTGGGTCTGTAGACACAAGCTGGTGTAATAATCATTAATAATCCCCATTGATTTACATGGTTATAAACCAAAAATAAACCATATACCCTCTGGTAAACTAACATAGCTATGGAAAATCACAATTGTTTAATGGAAAATCAACTATCAATGGCCATGTTCAATAGCTATTTTGACATAACCAGAGGGTAAACCATCTATATATGGCAGAACATGATGGAACCCCACGAATTGGGGGGCCTATGATCACTATATAATATATGATTGTTATTTTTCAATGGGATACTGGTTGGTGGTTTCAACCCCTCATAAAAAAAATAGTCAAATGGGATGATTGTTCCCAATATATGGAAAGTCATAAAATTCATGTTCCAAACCACCAACCAGATTATCATTTACCCTACCTATTGGTTGTTGGGGTAAAAGAAAACCCTCTATTCATCGACCAACAAATGGAAAATATTCATGGAACATTAATGGAAAAAATGTTCCAAACCACCAACCAGGGATATGTATAACTCATATAGCGCTCCCGGGTTTTTCCGCTCCATGGCACAGCTGATTTCAAAATCCAACACGAACTACTGCTGGACCAAGTCACGAACTCAACGTCATCCGGTGACATTTGGCGGTTGAATCCAATTTTCTCCGATTCTAATACCGAAAAGCATGCTATCCAATGATTGTAAAAATTAGATCCAAACTCATATTCATGATCAAATCTCCTTGTAGCACCATGTTTGTCATGTTTGGTGTAGGAACCACGCTAAACCCCCCCTGGTTTTCTTGGGAATCCTCCCAAGGCATCGAAGCCGTCCGTGCCTCCACTGGATGTGGAGAAGCGAAGCTCCAGACGAGTTTGGAGCTCCACCACCTGGGGATAGCGCCAACAAGACCTGTCCAATGATGGTATCATGTTGGGCTTTAGCTGCACCCAATGATGGATATGTGGATCAAATGATCAATGGGGATTTTAACAACCAAAATAGTGGTTGAACCAAGACATTGCCAATCTTCGATACCCTGCAAAAAAATAATTTCTTCGCTGGTTAGTAGATACTCCCATTAATACCAAAAGACTAAAGGATTAAAGTATCCATGTAAGATTGACCTACAGTAGATGGACAAAATATTCAAACCCTGCAGCACGCACTATGTTGAACCCCCGCACCCCCAAATCTCAATGTTTCAGCGCGCGTGTTAGCAAAAGTTATGTTAGGGGTTTGATTTTTTTTCGTCCACTGCGGCAAACGCACTTCAGGTTACAATAACATTGAACTTTGGGGGCGAGGGGGTTGTACAGGATAGAAGGGGTTTGAATATTTCGTCCATCTACGGTAGTTATATGACACCCTGAAAGATATGGTACACCCTGGGTGAAAGAAAGACATAAACCAATCTGGGACTGTTTTATTCTTTACCTGTTTAATCCTGTTTACCTGCCCAATCTATGATTCATATTGATGGTATAAAACAAAAATCCCATTTAAAACCATGAGTGAACATGAATCGAATGCAGCACTGAATGCAGCACTGAATATCCATGTATACAAACATCTATGCAAAATAGTATCTAATGTGTATTTATATGGGGTTCCATTAGATACAAGCATCCATCCCACTATAGGGCTTCCATTTATATGGATTATTCTGGGTAAATTACAATATTTCACTAACCTGAATTAAGGCCATTTGGGAATGATTTCCATATTGATTTCGCTGATTAACCATAATTCCAGTGAGGTCGCAGTGAGGTCGTTATAATTTACCCAGATTATTAGATGCCAATATATCCCATTTTCGTATCCAAGTTTTGTATGGGCTTCCTCAGCAAATTGGGGCATTCGAAAACTTGCGGGAACATGATGATCTTGGGCCTTATTGTCAGATAAACCCTTACAGTATATAACGTTATATATATATATATATTGATGTATATGTTGATATATATATATATATATTATGTATATATATAATGTATATAATATATATTGATGTGTATATTATAATATATTATATATATATATATGTTGATGTTTATATATTCATGTGTGTATGTAACAATACATATATGCGAACATTCAGGGTAAATTGATGTGTATAAAGCCATTCTTTTGTTCATTAGGAATCCTATAAAAAAACAATGTCTCCAGTCGAGCGCAGCACGGCACGGAAATATACAACCAAACTAAGAAACCAAGGTCTGCCTAATTCAGGTTGAACATTTTAAGCGGTTTGAGCCTCGGTGGTTTGGGGGCATAGTTTCGACTTGGGGGAATGAACACCATCATTCCAGGATGGAAAGCAACAAAAATGAACCCATAACCACTGAGTTATATCTCCATCTAAGTCTGGTTAAGGATTAAACTGATTAAACTGATTAAGTCTGGTGAGTCCAAAAACAAATCCGCTGATTCCCGATCAATTGTCACTGAATGGCCGTGTTTGCAGCAGCAGTTTTGGAGGGACCCATCTCCATTTTCCATGGCTTGAATCCCTATTTCTGATGGTTGAGGCCCTATATCTGGCTCGGTTCTTCCCAATTTCATGGTCGTTCATCACACGTTTCTGGATCTATACTCAATAATCCCTTACTACCCTTACCAACCTGAAATAAAGACATTTTGGAATAGATGCCCCGTTAAGCGCATCATTCCGGTGACGTCGCGGCGTCAGGTCGCGTGAAAAAATGGAGGCAGATATTTGGTTGCTGGACTACCAATTTATTGGTTGGTTAATTGGTTATCTCAAACAAACACAATGACAATCCATTAAATCTTACCCTCTGGTAATTTGTTACGCTATTGAACATGGCACATAGGAAGTTCGTTGATTTACCGAGCTTAGTTCGATGGTGAGTTTCCAGTTCGCTATGTGACAGTTTACCAGAGGGTCAATCACTATTAATCACCATTAAATCACCATTAAATCACCATTAAAACCCATGAAATCACCATGAAATCACCATGAAATCACCATGCTTGGAGATCTATGTCAAAAATTCCCAGGTTGGGTCAATGACTCAATCGTTTTTCGGGTTCAATGAGTTCAATCCCAACTGCAACCAGGTACTACCTGGTAGTACCTGGACCCAATGAATCAGAACCAACCATCATTTCTCAATGATCTCCCCATAGAAATTCCTAATCAAAAAACAATCTGATGAACTAGTTCAGTTTCCATTAATAATTCACTAATCAACTACAATCCTCTGGAATGATAACATAAGAATAAGTATAGCTATACCCAAGATAGAAAAGTGTTTCCAGGTCTTTTTTGGATTATATTTAAATCTATTCAACACGCATGTTTAAGTTTCCGACATTTGTATCATGTTTAGGGTTACTATAGTCATTGCCAGCTAGCCAATCTTAGATACCCTGCAAACAAAATAAGTTTTGGTTGGTAAGTAGATATTCCGAAATTCCTATTTACAGCCAAAAAAATTAGGATTAAACTACCCATCCAAGGTTGACCTAGTAATCAACAATGCTATTTTAGTAGCTCCAGTCAACCATCGACCATCGACACCTGCTGAGCTTCTGCTGCTTCAATCAACTGCTGACGCCACGCCGGCAAGCCTCGGCCGCGGCGATTTTGAAAAGTGCGGCCACGGCATGGAAAATAGGTTCTTGAGGGTTAACCATAACTGGTTGGTGGTTTGAATCCCTCTGAAAAATAAGTGTTTTATAGAGTTTTATTGGGATTTATAGGGGTTTTATTGGGATTTATAGAGGTTTTAATGGGATTTGTAATCTGGTTGGTGGTTTGAACCCCTCTGAAATATGCTGGTCAGTTGGGATGATGATTCCCAATATATGGAAAAATAAAAAATGTTCCAAACCACCAACCAGATAAAGATGATTTAACCTTAAAACTTGGTAGTGTAACCATTAAAAATGGTGATTTGACCATTAAGACTTTAAGACATGGCTATTTAACCATAAACAATAGTGAGTTAACCGTGAACATTGTGATTTAACCATTAAAACATGTGATTTATATAACCATTCCGACCTGTGATTCAATGGGATATTAATGGGATATTTCATTAATGGAATGTACTATGGAAAATGGTGGATGTAATGGGAATATCATGGAATATCAATGGGAGATTGATGGGATATGAATGGGACATAGTGGAATATTGATATAATATTCATGGGTATATGGTATACCCTCTGGTGTCATCAAAGATGGCTAGCCAGGAAATAGTCCATAAATGGAGGATTATAGCTGTGAAAATCATCAAACTATAGTTGGAGGATTTTCCAGCAAGCCACGTTTGATGACACTGGAGAGTATTCCAATTCTCCATGAGTCATCCATTGTTGTTGTTTATACCTTATTAACTATCAGATATTATCAGATTATCATTCCCCATCGATTTCATTATTGTCTTATTGGCATACCACCAAGAAATAAGCGGCAGGTCAACTCACCGAATTTCACAGCGCCCCATCGAGTCACGCGAGGCGCAAGTCCATGTCCTCGAAGACGCGACCAAACGTATGCGGCCCAAAGGCAGATCGAGAAAGCAGCTCTCAAACATACCCTCTGGTAAACTCACATAGCTATTGAAAATCACCATTTTTAATGGGAAAACTCACTATAAATAGCCATTTTCAATAGCTATGTTAGTTTACCAGAGGGTACACTCCAGCAGCTCGCAGCAAATGGCTGCCATGACTTGCGCGTCAGCAGCGGCTTTCACCTCTTCCAGCTCTCACTGATCAAAACGATTTTGGAATCTTGGGGCATTCAAGTCCCGCCCTGAAAAAAAGGCCTTATCAATCCCATCCACTATAATTCTACTGGTTGGTTTATAAATATTCCTGTGGGTTCCTGTGGGTTATACCAATCCCCAACAAGCCAATCGGTATAACTTCTACAACCCCCAACGGATTCTGGCGCAACATGGCTCTAGCTTCAAGATGCAGGCGTTTGTGGTTTGATTTCCATGGTTTGTCTGAAAAAATGGGAGTATTTTCGTTCCCAAATGAACTACCCTCTGGTAAACTAACGTAGCTATGGAACATCCAAATTTTGATAGCTAAATCCACTATTTCGACTGGGCCATTTTCAATAGCTATTTTGACATAACCAGAGGGTAGTTGATCATAATTCTCCCCATTGGCCATCAATTGGGACACTGGGAGCCTTCCCTTTCTTCCAAGAAACCATGCAGGGATCCTTTCCACATCGCTTCGCCCGAAACGAAGGAGACCTGGAATCCAAAGACGCCACTGGAAATGATGGAAGTGCCCTGGGAATGCTGGGTTCATGCAAGCTTTTGCAGGGCACCATGAAAACATACATATATATATAATTATATATATATACACTTACATACACATATGTCTGAATAACTAAGTATATACATATATCATCATTTATCATATATTGGTACGAGTATGGTCAGATTAAGTCTGCCATTGAGAGGCAGCCCATTCCGCAGAGATTGAACACAAACTTTCTTATAGGGGGCTTGTGAAACGACTACAATTCCTGTAAAACAAATGACAACTTCTGCCAAACCAAGCTACCAGTATCGTTTCGGGATGATTTTCCTGGGGAAACCATCGGTTTCCAGATCAATGTGATCTTACCCTACGATTCTCAGCTATTTTCATATCTGTTAATCCCATATTAAATCATGAATCATGTGGTTCTGTGAAAAATCACCATGTTGCTATGATTTTTGGGGCCTGAGCAGGAGTATCGCCGACCCGCGGTACCATCGCTACCTGCCACTTGTCTCGCAGAGCTCCCCTCACAGCAGCCACACCACTCACGTCTGGCGAGGTGAGGGGTCTGATTTGGGGGACCCGGTGGTACCCATGTCTTAGGAAACTCTCATATGGGTCTGTAGTTATTGGGGTTATAAACTATAACATCATATAAGTATATAAAACTGTAGTCATTGTTTTTTCAACTAATTTATAAACGTTTTACTGGTGAATTGACGACAGCAAAAGGTTAATCGTTCGTTATTTTACCACCACAAAATTGGGATAGTGAGCCTTGATGGCTCGTGCATTTACAACACAAAATGAAGATTTATACATATATAATATATAATATAACCCATATGCTCCATGGTGCTGGATATTTACCAACAGTTACCACCATGGAGCATATGGCTTATATTCCCATGATTATTCCCATTATACAACGAGCCATTGAATTGTGGTGGTAAAATCCCACATGGCGATGGAGATAGTCAGCCATGAAAATCTCAACTGTTCTATGGTTAATATCCTCTAATTCATTCGATCCCTATTAATAGGATTTTATATATATATATGTTATGTCAAAAAGATAGGTAGTATTGTTGTATAATGTATATCCTATTATAATTGATGATATCCTAGTATATCTTATTGTACATTATAATATCTATATTAGATAAAATCTATTGTTAAAATACCCCGATATATCCTATTATAATGTATTATTATATCCTAGTATATCTGGGTAAATTAGAATATTTCATACCCTCTGGTAAATTAACATAACTATGGAAAATCACCATTTTCAATGAGAAATCCACTATAAATGGCAATTTTCAATAGCTGTTTGTATTTTTGCCAGAGGGTAATATTTCACTCACCTGAATAGTTCGGCCATGGCTGGGATTTTTTTTCCCTCTACCTTCACCATTCCAGGCGCCACGGCCACGACATGAGGTCACCATGTCATTTGCCCAGATTATACCCCCGTTGATCCCATTAATATAAAATATCTATATATAATTACATACAATATATACATAATAGTGTGGTATATAAACATATAAATTGAAAATCATTGAATGGTATATAAATAAATTACAGTATATAGATAGATAGATAGATGGATGGATAGATAGATAGATGGATGGATAGATAGATGGATGGATGGATAGATAGATAGATGGATGGATGGATGGATGGAGAGATGGATGGATAGATAGATGGATGGATGGATAGATAGATAGATGGATGGATAGATAGATGGATGGATGGATAGATAGATAGATGGATGGATGGATGGATAGATGGATGGATAGATAGATCGATAGATAGATGGATGGATAGATAGATGGATGGATGGATGGATAGATAGATGGATGGATAGATAGATAGATGGATGGATAGATAGATGGATGGATGGATAGATAGATAGATGGATGGATAGATAGATAGATGGATGGATGGATGGATAGATAGATAGATGGATGGATGGATAGATAGATAGATGGATGGGTGGATGGATAGATAGATGGATGGATAGATAGATGGATGGATAGATAGATAGATGGATGGATAGATAGATAGATGGATGAATGGATAGATAGATAGATAGATGGATGGATGGAGGGATGGATGGATAGATAGATAGATGGATGGATAGATAGATGGATGGATAGATAGATCGATGGATAGATAGATGGATGGATGGATAGATAGATAGATGGATGGATAGATGGATGGATAGATAGATAGATGGATGGATGGATAGATAGATAGATGGATGGATAGATAGATGGATGGATAGATAGATAGATATACTATTAATTGTATATGTTCATATCCAAATTTTCCTCCAGGCAACTTGTGGTCAAGACCGCCTTGCTCCAGGTTCCGCGGGCCGCGCCTTCGCCAGGACACGGCTTCACGGAGTTGATGCCCGCAACAAAGATCTGGCAACGGGGACAACGACGGGTGGGGGTGACGTCATGGGGATGTCATACTCATTTAATGATGGTTAGTACATGTTAGTAATGTGGGTAATATCCATGGTTACTGGGTTAGTATTGGTTTATAGTGGTTAATGGTGATTAATGGATGACTAATGGTGATTAATGTGGGTAAAACAATAATAAACCACCCATTTGGGAATAGTTTATACCACCTATTTTTGGTGATTTGGGGGATGGTTGACTATTGTTTTACCCACATTAATGGGATTTCATGGGATTTAATGGGTGTTATCCAGTGGATATTTGAAATATGATAGGGGCATCATAGATGAAACATGGTGATTTTGTGGAATATTATGGGGCAGCTTGCGGGCAAAGTTTGGAAAACCAAGTGCATTTGAAAATTTCCGATGCAACAAAATGAGTTTAACCAGAACATCGAAAAAAAACTGGAGACAAATAGGTTACCGTTTGTTTAGCAACGCAAGTGTTACTTTTGAATGAACATATAAACAATACAATTAGGAATATAACCAACACAACTGGGGATACTATCCGACAATCAATTGATGACAAAACTATCCGACAATCAATTGATGACAAATCATTGATTATTTGGTTTCTGGTGCAGCCTCCAAGCAGAAAAACAAAAACAATAACCACTAATAAGCAGTATAAACGTATATCATCTTAATAAGAATAATGTTTGGCCATCTTAATAACCATAATAAACCCATGTTTGGCCATCCAAATAAGAATCATCTTCACAACTGGTTGATCCGGAAGGACCCCCCCCAGGTCCCGGGAAAGCCTCAGGTTCAGTGCCTTTCTGGTTCTTCAAGTCCTGCGACCGGGGCCATTTTTGGCTGGTCCGAAGTGGAAGTGAACTCACCATGTTTACCAACTCCATACAATAATGTTTCATATTCGTAATATGTAACCCGTTTTGGTGTAACAGAATGAAATGCACACAGCTTGTAGACAATAGTGATTGATACCCTCTGGTAAACTAACATAGCTATTGAAAATGGCAACATATAGTGAGTTTTCCCATAGAAAATGGTGAATTTCCATAGCTATGTTAGTTTACCAGAGGGTAGTCAACAACACATCCAATATCACAAATATGTACGACCATGGATGTGGTACATATGTGGTACTTGACTTGCTGCGAAAAAAGAAGATAAAAAAGGGCATAGTACACGGCTCAGAAACCTGAGATGTGTGATCCTAGATATTCCAACATCATATGAAACATTAGATATGTATAGGTATGTATGTAATTATATTACCTATGTATATATACATATGTATATATATATGATTATATATGCAAATGACATTGCATACGCATGTAGTTGGCTGGATGTTCATCCCCAAAAAGAACTTAAGGCTATAAAGTGGGAACCCCAGTTATATCACCCATAAATCGTAAAGTTCACCAAGTTAGAAGATGTTACCCTCTGGTTATGACTAACATAGCCATGGAAGCCATGGCCCATAGAAATAGATGGTTTAACTAGCTATAAAATGGTGACTTTCCATGGCTGTTGTTAAATAACCAGATGGTATATGCGTCAATTTAGCTATCGTTTACACGGGGGCCTCAACAAAAAGATCATAGGTTTTCACCAATCCCCACGGTTGAACCATATTGAAACCTTCTGGTAGAACCCCCCGTAAACGATCGTCATTATTGGTAAATGTCATTCACAATTACACTCTGGTTATTTCACATAGCCATGGAAAATAAGCCATTTATAGATTCAATGAATTATGATGATTTACCTAATAAAAATGATGATTTTCCATGGCTCCGTCAAATCACCAGAGGGTAAGTGGTATTTGAACCCTCTTCCATTCTTGTTGGTAATTCCCTATCTGCTATGCCAATAGCAAATATCAATCCATCATATTTTGGGATGAATGGGATATGATTGGGAGAATATTGGAATGTTGTTGGGGCATGATTTGGATACTGTATTGCAAATACTTCCAGTACAGCATTCTTCGTTACCTTCTCCATTATCCCTCGCGAAAAACAAAAGTCGTCCGTCCCAGTATTAAAATATACTTCATTATGTTTCCGCATAATTCCCAATAAATTTCCCATTATGAGATATTAATGATTATCATTATTAGATATCGATGGATAGATTATTATTGTGGATTAGAAATCTATCATGGATAGATATTTGATGATATATTCCAATCATTTTGATCTTCCCCATATTTTCCCATGATTTTCCCATTAGTTTTCCAGTGAATCCCCATGAAGCTGCATGCCATCGCACCTCCAGGATGAGCTCAACCATGGCCTGATGACTTTTCGCTTCGGGCGAAAATTGGCAATGGGAATTTCAGGATCCGAAAATGGATGTACTGTACGGGATGGGGCCCCAGTTTGTTAGCTAAGTTGGTGCAAATAACTATAATAACAAGTTGGTGTAAGATAGGCAAATAAACCAAAATAACTGGGGGGCCCATCCTGTGCCATTATTTTGTGGGGATATTCCCTGAAATTTATACCTTATATATGGTAGGTACCTCCAATCAATCGGTTCCAGAAATGGCCATTGATCATGGGATGGCGCAAAATGGCCATGTTTGTCAAAGACCAACCGTTGATATGGCAAAACGTTTGGATTTCTTAAGGCATATTGATTATTTGGGATGGGCATATCATGTGATTATCGAAAACGAAAACTAAAAGAAACAGTAAGAAACAATTACCATTTGAATGGGGTGAAGTATCCGATACCCTCTGCTAAACTAACATAGTTATTGAAAATGACCATTTATTGGTAGTTTACCAGAGGGGTAACTGTGGGCAGGGCCTGTTCAGTTGACAAGAATAGTTTCACAAGATCCATCTTGGTGACCGCCTTTCAACTCGCCACATCACCATCCGCACAGCCTATGTACCCCGTTGGGATTTCACAGCAAGGCCCTAAGTAGCTCATATTAAGCAACGGAAGTCAATCCATGTATATTCCTATATATTCCTATATATTCCTATTCCATATAAGGTCCTATAATATATATATATGGGCTACTATCCCCAATATTCCTATCCGATATGGGATAGGTCATGACCTCCAAAAAAATCATCAACAAACAGTGTTTTTTAAACAATCAGCCTGTCATGGTTGTTGGATATCCCCGGAAATCAAAATGGCTTTGGGCCATCACCCCATTTGAATACGAGTTCGTTCTATGCCCCATGAACATATCCCATGAAAAAACCCAATGAATATCCCACTAAATCCCGCTGATATCCCATTCATATTTCATGAAATTTCCATTTCTCCATTTCATCACCATTAATTATTAACTATAGTTATATTCACCAAGTTTACTTGGCTCATCCCACTTGCTAAATGGGTTATTACCCCAGTTCTAAATGGGCCATTCTCAAAAAAACGGGGTGAACTAACCCCTTTACGAGCCGTGGGATGAGCCAAAAAAAGGGATTGTCCATAAATGGGGCTACCATGGGGCTACCCCAATAGCTGGTTTATGATGGACAATCCCGTAAACACGGAATCCCATTCACAATCCCCATATGCCCCATGCGATGAATATATATATATATATATAAATTATATATATATAAAAATAATCGAAGGAAGTTTAGAAGTCAAACTTCCGACAATATGGACAGATGAAAAGCAGAGCAGGGAAGAGGCAGAGAGAAGAGAAAGATTAGAAGAAAGAAGAGTAGAAGAGAAAGAGTCAGAAGAAAGAAGATGGAGATGCGCGAAAAGGTAGGAAAGTCGCGATTCACTGTGTTTTTCCAATGATTTGGGGCTCCGGAGGGTCGAAAAGTAGGCTCGCTAAAGCGGCGCGGTGCGGAGCCAGCTGGCCAGAGGAGAGATGAAAAGTTGCACGCCGTTGTGGCGCGAAGCACATTTCGAAGTCAAAATTTACAAAACACAACATGTTCGGACCACTTTTGGAAGTTGAGATGTCAAAAAAGTGCACGCCGTTGTGGCGCGAAGCACATTTCCAAGTCAAAATGTACAAAGCACACCATTGTTGGACCACTTTTGGAAGTTGCGATGTCGAAAAAGTGCACGCCGTTGTGGCGCGAAGCACATTTCGAAGTCAAAATGCACAAAACACATCAAAACACGCCATTGTCGGACCACTTTTGGAAGTTGCGATGTCGAAAAAGTGCACGCCGTTGTGGCGCGAAGCACATTTCGAAGTCAAAATGTTAAAAACATCAGGCGTTCGGACCACTTTTGGAGGTTCAGATGTTGAAAAAGTGCACGCCGTTGTGGCGCGAAGCACATTTCGAAGTCAAAATGTTAAAAACACCAGGGGTTCGGACCACTTTTGGAGGTTCAGATGTCTCTTCGCTTCGCTTCACTACAATAGACTACATTACACTACACTACACTCCACTACACTACATTACACTACACTCCACAACACTACAACTACAACAACGCAACTACACTCCACTACGCTCCACTACACTAAATTACACTACACTACACTACACTACACTCCACTACACTACACTACACTACCTTCCACTACACTTGACTACACTACATTACACTACACTCCACTACACTACAACTACAACTGCACAACTACACTCCACTACACTACATTACACTACACTACACTCCACTACACTACACTCCACCACACTAAATTACACTAAACTACACTACATTACACTACACTCCACTACACTACAACTACAACTACACAACTACTACACTCCACTACACTCCACCACACTAAATTACACTAAACTACACTACATTCCACTACACTACACTACACTACATTACAATCCACTACACTCCACTACAACTACAACTGCACAACTACACTCCACTACACTACAGTACACTACACTACACTATAGGTAGGTATGTAGATAGTCAGAGAAAGAGAGAGAAAGAGAGGAGACCTCAAGCACCTTTCGGTCCATCAGTGGATTCGCTCTGCCATCCCTAATTCACAACAACCAATCTCTCCTATAGGTTTCCTATTTTTGAAACTTCCACCACCGCCTTGTGTGGTACTACTGGTATATATATATAATATATAATATTGAATATTTACCAACATTTACCACCAAAATAACCCAGTTTTGTAGCTAAATATTCCAAAACCATGGAGCATATGGGATCTATTCACTAAAAACACCTCGGGCCTTCTGCGGGACGAAGGCGGAATCCTTCCAGCTCTGGATGCAGAACTCACCGGTCACAAAGACCCTCCGACGCCACCTGTTGGCTCGGCTGGGCAAAAATCATGGGAAAAATCCATAGATAATCATGTGTATATATATAATAATAATAATAGTAATAATAATAATAATATATACACATATTATAAGGATAAAATCTGGATAAAATCTCATAGGATCACCTGGTTCCATTTTTTCCGAATTCACCTTTTTGTTTTTTTTAATCATCGAACGGTCGACAAGTCGAATGGGGGTTTCTAGTTGGTAATTTCATCGAACTAGCCATGGAGGGTTGAACTGAGGGTAGCAGCATAGTTTGTTATTGGTTGTTTAGCCGAGATTTAACCATCAATTATAGTTTGCGGAGATTTAACCAATTATAGTTAATAGATGTTTAATGATGTTTATAGGTCTTTAACCAGCAAATATATGGGAATATCATTGATAGATGATGGGTTGATCATTTTACAAGGTGAGGCCCCTGTTCAGGATAGCAAAGTTAACGCACGTTTCACTTGGTGAAGCAACTCCGCTGAAGATCCATAAACTAAGTAGGTTATATCCCTGGTCACAAATGGGCTAAGTAGGGTTAGTTCACTTATACTTGGGATTATAACCCACTTACTAACTGGGATGAGCCACCAAGTAGGGGAATGTAACGCACTAGTTCATGGGGTGAAACTACACCAACAAACATCACTGGGGGCCCTCACCTTGTAGAAATAACCATTATGATATTCTTGCTTGTTTTTTCATAGGGTGTTTGCCTTATAATATATGCATATGTATATATATATATATTTATATATATACTGTATATATAGTATATACAGTATATACAGTATTTACCGTACCGGGTTTCATGGGAATTATCAAAACCCATACAGTAATAGGAACATTTCCTGTCCAACCAGTACAATGAAATGGGACAGGGTATGTGTTTTGACGATACACGTGGCCCAATGAATGGCATTAATACTTCAAGGATCTTGTCACGAATCCTAATTGTGCACACTGGATGACTTACTCACTGGTTGAATCGGCATAATGTGGCGCTGCAATGAAGTGTTGATGGGTAATATATGATAATATATGGTCATAATATAATGGGATATAATATAGCAGACCTATAGTAACTTAGAAACTAGGCAATAACCCTACTGGTAAGCCATTTATGGAGGACGACCCCACGGATCGGGGACAACTCAAGATCACCAGTTGCAAACTGCAGTTATTGTTGGTAACGTCCCGATTTTGGGCGACATCGTCAGTTCAAGCGAGAACATAAACACACATAGGAAAAGCTACGTCTGCTGACTTAGTGGATTCCATATATAAATCAATGATGATTGTATTGCATTCCTTCATATTCCTTCGTCGTCTGGCACGACCGGACACGAACATCTTGAGCAGAACAATACCCAGGTGGTAAATGGCAAACGTCAGATGGACGTTGGATAGTGGAAATATGCTTTTGACGCAACCACAAGTAATCAAAAATGCCTACCCAATATCTTGTATCAATTATCATGGTAATGACTGTTCTCAGTGGGAAACAATCGATGCATCTACATCTATGTCTGTGTATTTCTTTTGAACACATGGGAGATTTCCATTGCCAGGTAAGATAACAAAAAATCTAGAGACCCTGATGAGAGCAACCCTCCATCAGAGGAAACACTCCCGTGGCAACACATGTACTTGCAGCTACATGTTGCAGATGGGTGATGGCATGTGATGGCAAGACCACTTTGGTTGCAAACCAAGCACATGGCTGCATTACAAACAGTATACATAACGTGCACCGAATGGGAAATTTATCCGAAGTTGGAAGTTGGTAATCTAAGATTTCAAGCATTACCCTCTGGTAAACGAACAACAAACTATGGAAAATCACCATTTCGGTAAATCAACAAACTCTTAGTTTACTGGAGGGTAATCCCCATTATATCCCCTATAAATCCCTATAAATCCCTGTGGTTCTTGGTGATCTTCTGTCACGTGCGCGTGGTGACAAATCGTGTGACCAACTGGTCAAAAACCGAGTGGAAAAAATGCTGCGTGGGGTAAAACACATCCCAGCTGAGGGAAAATTAAGCCACTCGTTTTAAGGGATTTATGGTGGTTTTATTGGGATTTAATGGGATTTATGGTGGTTTTATTGGGATTTATAGGGGTTTTATTGGGATTTATTGTGGTTTTATTGGGATTTATAGTGGTTTTAATGGGATTTGTAATCTGGTTGGTGGTTGACCTACACCTCTGAAAAATATGAGTCAGTTGGATGATGACATTCCCAATATATGGAAAAATAAAACATGTTCCAAACCACCAACTAGAATAGACTATCATAGATTGCCCAAAACTTACATTTATATACATGTAAACAACATTGTATTACAAAACAGCAAGGTTATCAGTTTATTGTGTAGTTTGGTTATTGTAGGATATTAGATTTAGGTGATTTAGGTGATAATTACCCTAATAAGCCATACATAGACATACATAGATATACATAGATTATCACCATTCACCACACCCATTGACCATTTGGACCATGAAAGCCGCCAGCCTGCCAAGACGATAAGGACCTGTGCAACATCAGCAACCACCGAGAGATTTTAAGGAGTATACTTGGTGGTTCATCCCAGTTAGTGGGTTAGCTCACCCCAGTTATAAGTGAACGTTGCCCCTGCTTAGCCCATTTGTAACCAGGAATATATAACTTATATATGACCTACTTAGGATTCATGGGTAGTTCGCCATCAAGTAGTAAATACAGAAGAAAAATGGAAGGAGTTTACACTTTACTAGTTCGGTAGTTTTCTAAGATGTTATTGAGTGGATGGTTAGCCTTGTTTCCCAGTTTTATTCATGAAAACTTTACATAACTTTACCACCATTTTCTGATGATTTGACTGTCTGATCTGATTTGAAGCTTGCGAAAAACCTGGCTAGGTCTGGCTACTCAGATCGGCCCCTTGAGACGAGCTGCTCAACTTTTTAGCTGATTATGCCATGCTGCCTGGCTGGGTGTTTTTCCAGTCATGGGGTACCCCAAATCATCCAAAAATCATCGAATTTTAGTATTGAAACCCATTGGTTTGATCCCCCATTTTGAAAGCCTCATGTATACATTCCATTTTGAAAGCCAGCGCAGTAGAGGAGTGCATCATTCACCGGGTGGCTGAGTTTTCCAGGTGGCTCAATCTTTCGGTCTGCTTCATGGCGCAAAAATACATACACGATTAGGACACATGGTGGATCAACCAAAGTGATGAATGATCATCTTCAACAAATGTAGGAGAGGGGGGGGATTGTTGCATGGCCAGGGTGTATCTCAAGCTATCTTTATCATTCTACTGTCTACTAGTAACTAGTAGTCTCCCAGGCGTTTATTGATTCGATCCCCAGGATGAAAGCTGTTCGGTCCATTTGGGGATTTGTTTTCCCCATAAACCGTCATCTATAAATTCTATAATGACATCGGCTGTAACTTTAAGCCCAGATGATGCTTATAAGTGGGAATCCCCAATTTGGTTGAGTTTACCCTCTGGTGAACTAACATAGCAATGGAAAATCACCATTCTTAATGGGAAAATCCACTATAAATAGCAATTTTCCATTGCTATGTTAGTTCACCAGAGGGTATCTCCATTTTGGTATCCCAATCCCAATCAGTCGACTTGTCCTTCCAGGCGACTAGAGACCAGAAATCCTCCGGGTTGATGAACCCACATGAAAACCCACAACTTCTATCCGCAAATCAATGCTACATTCAACCATTCATGTCAAAATATCCTGTTCTAAAGGCAAGTTCAAGCAACTCTGACAAGATAGAAGAGTCATTTACCAGTATATTTCACGGTTCATCTCTGGTTGGCGGTTGACCTACCCCTCTGAAAAATGATGGAGTTCGTCAGTTGGGATGATGATGATTCCCAATATATGGAGACAAAATCCAGTCATGTTCCAAGCCACCAACCAGCATATACAAAACATACACTATACAAAACATTACAAACCGTTGAGTTGCTAATACCAGTCGTGATAAATTTGGAATGAGTTCCAGGTATCTGTTGGTTTATGACTAGGTGACTAGGCCAACTGTGACTATACAAAGCATTACTAACCATTGGAAAAAAAAAGGTTCCAAACCGGTGGCCTGTATCGTCCATGCAATCCATCGAATCCTGCCGGGATGAACCACCGTCAGCTGGTTTCCACTGAGGATCGATTGCTAAGCCAAGGTTGATACCCTCTGGTTATGTCAACATAGCTATTGAAGATGGCCATTGAAATAGTGGATTTTCCCATTATTTTAATGGTGATTTTCCATAGTTATGTTAAATTACCAGAGGGTAGGGATTCCCTGTTCATGGATTCTGACAATCCATGTCTCCCATGAGGGGGGGTCAATTATAGTGTGACAATTCGGATTTCAATGGATTTTAGCGGGCAAAAATTGGACAAGTGATGTTTCGATGGATTGGTTTAAGGGAACACTTTTTCGAAGTTCTACTTACAATTCACCTGCCATTTTTACCAAGGCCGACCCTACATGAACCTTGAAAACAAACTCATCCAATCAACCTTGTGTACACCTCCACTGATTGTACCCCCAGATTCATTCCCATTGTTTGGTTGATTGAATCCGTTATGCTACTGGTGAGCCACTTGTTGGCGCAGCTACCGTCTTATTGTTCCAACATGGTATATACGGTTATACTGGTTATACCCATCACCAAAACGATAGAACAGTCAAAGATGTTTTTTTTTGATAGTGCTAAATTGACAATTGTTCAGTGTTTTTTTTCTGGTTCCCAATGGTTCCAACACCCCCCTTCCACTGAGGGTGAGACCTCCGCTGAATTAGGTGGCTGATCATACCAGGCATGGGTCAACCTGACAGTTTGAGCTGGACCATCGGGGTGTACGGAAATGAGGTATAAGGTGGTGCCCCATAGTTAGCTAAGTTGGTGCCAATAACTCCAATAACTATGGTTTATGGTAGATATATCTATACTTACTATGCTTTATAAACCAACTTAAAACTGGGGGGCCACACCACCTTGTATAGAACCCCCCCAAAAAAAAAACGATGGAGGCCTACAAATGTCACTAAAATCATCGGACATTTAGATGTTTTGCTATCTTGTGGAGGTTCCTGTATATAAAAAATGGCAATTTGTATACTTGGGAAACATGATTCACATGATCGACCTTTAAAAATATATCTATCTATATAGTATATATATATATATCTATATAGTATAAATAATATTATATAAAATATTATATATATATATATGTGTATATCCTTGGGCAACCTAGTCCCAGCTACCACGGTCCCAGTTGGCCTCAGACTGGCTTCCAGCGCGAAGGGTTTGGCGTGGAGCCGACTGGTTACCGCATGACCCAAACTCTGACCTTGGCATCGTCCATGCGACTGGCTTGGAAATGATGCAAAGTCCATAGGTTGATGATGGACTACATGAATATATATATATATATGTTTCTATATATATATATATTATATATTATATATATTATATATATATTATATATATATATATTATATATATATATATATATATATTTACGGCAAATGCCTGGGCTTTGCCCGGAACCGCAACCACGACAGGCAACGCATCATCATCATCATCATCATCATGTTGATCATCATCAAACCCTGATTGAAGATATTCAATGAATGTAGAAGTTTTACGGGGGCGGGAGAATTAAACCCTCATTGAAGATCTTCAATGAATGTAGAAGTTTAACGGGGGTAAAAATTAAAACCCTTATTGAAGATCTTCAATGAATGCAAAGTTTAACGGGGGTGGGATTAAAACCCTCATTGAAGATCTTCAATGAATGTAAAGTTTAACGGGGGTGAGATTAAAAAAAACTTATTGAAGATCTTCAATGAATGTAGAAGTTTAACGGGGGTGGGAGAATTTAAACCTTACCAAAGATCTTCAATGAATGAAGAAGTTTAACGGGGGTGGGAGAATTAAACCCTTATTGAAGATCCTCAATGAATGTAGAAGTTTAACAGTTTAACGGGGGTGGGAGAATTAAACCCTGATTGAAGCTCCTCAATGAATGTAAAGTTTAACGGTGGTGGGGCTTTAATATTCCCCTAATACTGTACCTTTTGTTGATCTTCTCAATTGAATGTAAAGTTAAACGGAGGTGGGACTTTAATATTCCCCAATACCTTTGTTGATCTTCCCAATTGAATGTAAAGTTAAACGGAGGTGGGATTTTTAATATTCCCTAATACCTTTGTTGATCTTCCCAATGGAATGCAGAGTTGCAACAACATTTGATTGGGAATGGGGACCCTCTACGCTGCAACGCCTGGGCAAAGCCCAGGTATATATATATATATGTGTGTAGTATAGATATATATATATATTGTAAATGACAATATATAAGGACATACCAGATTGGGTCAACAACTACTGGATATGTTGGGAATATGATGCCTATCAATGGGGGATACTTGGTGGTACACCCCAATTAATTTACTGATATACCATGGAAAGAGCTCTTTCCATCTTTCCATGGTATATCACGTATATCAGTAAATTAATTTAGTACCTATTAGAGGGATTATATCCATGATATAATATTAGAGGGATTAATTTAGTTGGGATATAATTCCTCTAATTCTGTGATCCAGACTTGTTGATGGGTGCTTTTTATGGCTGACCCCCTTCTGAAGAAGTTCGCTTCCGAATCGGAGTTTTTTCAACCAGAGTCTGTGTTAGTTGAAAGGAACTATGAATACCCTCTGGTAAGCGTTTACATAGCTATGGAAAAGCACTATTTTTCATGGGTAAATCCACTATTTCTATGGCCATTTTCAATAGCTATGTTGACATAACCAGAGGGTATCCCCATATATTCCCATGATTTTCACAAACAAACAGAAATAAAACCTCCATTTCTAGTGGATATGTCCGACATAAAACCATGTGAAACCCACCATTTTGGAATTGACAATCAACATCTACGTCAAATCCGAGGGAAATCCATGGTATCCACGAGAGATGGGAGTGTACCCCAACTATTAAACATGAACTATACAAACATATTCAAAACTATAGTGGTTTTCATGGGATTTATAGTGGTTTTAATCGGATTTATGGTGGTTTTATTGGGATTTATAGTAGTTTTATTGGGATTTATAGTGTTTTTAATGGGATTTATAAGCTTTATAAGCTGGTTGGTGGTATACCTACCCCTCTGAAAAATATGAGTTCGTCAGTTGGGATGATGACATTCCCAATATATGGAAAAATAATCCAAATGTTTCAAACCAGAAAACCAGCATATACAAAACATACACTATACAAAACATTACAAACCGTTGAGTTGCTAATACCAGTCGTGATAAATTTGGAATGAGTTCCAGGTATCTGTTGGTTTATGACTAGGTGACTAGGCCAACTGTGACTTCAGGTGCATTTATCAAGCTGGTACAGCTCCTTTGGTTTCATACATGACCTCCAATGATGAAACTGTGTAATTATTAGAGTATGGCGCCACAATCGCAGAAGTTCGCACCAGGAAAAAACAGCATGACGGGGTTTCTTGGTGTCATTTTGTGGTACATATGAAAAACATGTTTTAGGATCTTTGTCGATGGATGTTTCAAACCGGGGTGCCCTGAGCATCATCTGGTTCTGATGAGCCACAGTGGACGGTTGTCCCGTATCCAACTGGTTTACTCTCAACGTGAGGTGACTAAAAGCCCGCAAAGCAATTTATGATTTGGGTTACCTCTGGTAAACTAACATAGCTATTGAAAATGGTCATAGAAATAGTTGATTTACCTATTAAAAATGGTGATTTTCCATAGTTTTGGGTATGTTTACCAGAGGGTAATTGCAGGGGTGCTCCCAACACCTCAGAGACTTTTCGGGGGAAAATTGGCTATACCTGCGCAACCCGGATTTGTGCTAAAACTATCTTGGATGTTCCTCAGTCAGAACGTGTCAGAACTATACCCTTTATATATGTGCGCAACAAAATCCAAGGGTGCCCATAAAGGTCAACTGCCAAGAAGGATTTGTTAAGGACTTGTTAAAGCCCATGTGACCCATCGAAGCTTCTGATGCGGCCTACCAAACTACGCGATTCACCCGATTTGGGGATGCAGTTGGATGAATTGACATCCAAATCACTGAGTAAAAGTTGATGTAGGAGATGATTTAATGTAATATATATATAATTATATGTTTGTATATCCAGTAAAAATAATATGGACACCGTATATATATATATGTGTGTATTGCAGTAAATACTTAAATGAAAACTAATTGCAAATATACATTTCTTAAGTGGAACTGCTTAATCCATTTTAACGAGAAAGGGTACCCTACTCTTCCAAATCCCCACTCAACCAGGTAATTCAATAACCCCTATGATAACCTATCTACGGGGTATGTTTTAATGGTTCAAACTTATTATCACCCCAGTTTTTTCAGGATATATAGTCATAGTCAACCCCTCTGAAAAATATTAGTCAATGGGAAGGATTATCCCATACATTATGGACAATAAAAAATGTTCCAAACCACGAACCAGATATAGTTGATGGCATTTTACAAAGTAACTTCAATAAGTATGGCAATCATGGGATATACCCTCTGGTTATTTGTTACATGGCTATGGTATAGATGGCCCATAGAAATAGATGGTTTACCTATTGATAGCATGGTGATTTTCAATAGCTATGTTAAACTATTGAAAATTGCCATAGAAATAGTGAGTTTTCCCATTAAAAATGGTGATTTTCCATAGTTTTTTGTATGTTTACCAGAGGGTAACTCTCAGGTTGTCCAAGTGCCAAAAGACTCACCAGCTCCCGGCTGCTTCGATCGTCTCGCAGCGCCCGGTTGTCACGGCACAACCTGGAAACTTCGATGCTGGGAGAGTCAGGTGGGAGGCAGATTGGTAGTAGAAATAGTTCTAATATATACTTGCTGGCTCATCCCACTCAGTAAATAGATGTAAATAGCTCATAACATGTTATAACCCCAGTTGTTTGAGTGGATTAACAGCGATTAACACTACAAAAAAAAAACATTTATAACTGGAGTTATAACAGATTTAGGAAGTGGGATGAGCCACCAAGTAGGTATAGGTATATAGTATATATATATAATTATATATATATATATGCATGCATGTGTCTTTACATGCAAATTATATTAACCAACAAAATGTGGGATGCACATCCTATGAGAATGTACCCTCTGGTAAACAAACATAGCTATTGAATATGGCCATTTATAGCGGATTTACCCATTAAAAATGGTGATTTCTGTAGTTTTTTGTATGTTTACCAGAGGGTAACATTTCCACAGCACCTTTTCCTTCTCAGTCCCAGTCCCAGCCCGGGCTGGGCTTTCCTCACTTGACGTGCACCTTCAAGCACTGTTCTGGGTCCTGCAGCTTGATCGGATGAACGGGATACACTTGGTGAATAGAATTTTTCACAAACGCAACTGGGGGGCCTCAGCGTGTATAGTTAAAATATGAGTTTAAGCTGATTAAACTATAAAGCTGTATATATTATGTTGGATATCATGATAATGAATGGATTATCAATAATAGTTTAATTATATCATGTTCATTGATTATCCATTCAATATACAAATTATTGGGATGTTCGACCATGAACGTTCAACATCTACAAAAAATAGGTGCTTTCATCAGGGAGGTTAAGGACATTTAAACATCACTTTCATAACCTTGCACTTGTTCCTGAATCTTCTCAAATCGGCGGTTCACAAGACAAACTGGCAATTTCATATGTGTTTGTCCAAAGATAACCTTCCAGCATCTGTAATTACCTTCCTTTAAACTAACATAGATCTGTAACACCCACCATTTGTAAATTATGTTCCTCGGAAACCCATGAGTTTTCGATATTCCACCAGCGCTACCGTGAACCCAATACCCCTTTGAACAATCAAACTCAAGAGCAATTGGCGAACATTCACAGCTAATCTTGTATACCATGCAAAAAATACAATGCTATGCTATTACAAGTACTATATATATATATATTATATATACATATACAGTACAAGTAGTGATAAATAAACTGCTATTATATCGTTTTGGGGCTACTATATACAGTACATTTATACATCTGGACTCCCCCATGTTCAAAATCAGAAAAGGACAACCTTTCTCACCAGCCCTTCACCAGCTGGGTAACCCATAATTGAACCGTTCCAACACCATTTGACTTGGTTCGACTCATGTTTACCATGTTCACTGTGTGGGTTAACCATTGTTTAAGCTACCATTCCAACGGATCAGTGGGTGCACGCTACACGTGGGGACCAACCAGTTATAACTAGGGTCATAACATTGGTTAGTGATGAAAACCTTAGTGGGATAATCCACTAACCAATGTCAATACTAGGGTCAGAATATTCTTAAGATGTAATTGATATAATTAGGAGCTATTTGTTATGATAACTAGGCTCATAATGAAAAAAACACATGAAAGAGAAAGAGTGTTTAAGTTGATCTCCTTGGAAGTATTTTACTTTGCTGTTTCACTGGGATGAGTCACCAAGCGGCGTAACTCATAGTGAGCCACGCGGCGTAACTCACGCACCGTGAGGTCAAAACATCATTGATCCAGATTGTTGATGACTATTATATAATAACGATAAACAACTGTAAACCAAGACTACCCATGACTAACCATTCATCTACTATTGACATCCCATATCCCAATGGGTCAAATCCCCAATTTCCATCCATTTCCTTCAAAAATGAGCTCATTTCCCGAGAAGAACACATCGAAACATTTGGGTCACATCCATAGTAACGTAGTATTTCTGCTATTTATCAGTCCTGCGCCTTCCCGACGACGTTACGACGATCACGGTTCGACGGTATCCCGCCTGAAAGCCAACGAGGTGTTGCCAAAGTTGTGATCCACCTGAGGGGAGCTGGCGCCGACAGGGTAAGCTTACAGGGAGGGAGAGATTGTGAGCTATATGACATATCTATATATATATATTATATGTCATATACAAATTCTAATGTATAATATGTTGTAAGCCATATATCATGTACATATATATATATATCATATATATATATATATTATATAATTGAACAAATGGCAATATATATATATAAACTGGGTTATGTGTTTTTCATATGATGATAACATGGCTTAAACATATGATGAGTTTATAACCACGAAACCTTGGGGAATCCAAGCATGATATGGGATATAGATGGATATAGCGATTAATACATGTTGAAAATACGTCTCATTATTATAGCGCAAATATAAATATGTTTTTCTATCTATACATATATATTATACAACTTGGCTATCGTTGGTTATCTAGTTATCTACCGACTTACTGGTAGTAGTGGCGTGAAAAAAAAAACAACAATAGTGAGATATAATGGGATCCCTTGTGTTTTTGAAGACTTAAAGGGATATATGATATACAGGATGGTGCCCCCCAGTTATAAGTTGGTTTATATTTACCTATTAAGAATGGTGATTCTCCATGGCTATGTTAAATAACCAGAGGGTATATAAAAATTACTTTACTTCGTGTGATCCACACCATGACATTTATACATTTTGTTACTGGCAAATCTTCTGGCATTCTATCTGACATATTTTCTGGCATTCGATCTGGCATTCTATCTGGCATATCTTCTGGCATTCTACCTGGCATATCTTCTGGCAGATGTTCTGGCATATCTTCTGGCAGATGTTCTGGCATATCTTCTGGCATATCTTCTGGCATATGTTCTGGCATATCTTCTGGCATTCCATCTGGCATATCTTCTGGCATATTATCTGGCAAATCTTCTGGCATTCCATCTGGCATTCTATCTAGCATATCTTCTGGCATATTATCTGGCAAATCTGCTGGCATTCTATCTGGCAAACATTCTGGCACTTTATCTGGCATATCTTCTGGCATTCTAGCTGACATTCTATCTGGCATTCTATCTGGCATACCTTCCGGCATTCTATCTGGCATATCTTCTAATATTCTATCTGGATCTTCTGGCACTCTATGTGGCATATCTTTTGGCGTGGATACTCGCGGTTGAGGTCCGGCAGGGAACACTGGGCGTGGATGGTCGTGGTTGAGGTCCGGCAGGGAACACTGGGCGTGGATGGTCGTGGTTGAGGTCCGGCAGGGAACACTGGGCGTGGATGGTCGTGGTTGAGGTCCGGCAGGGAACACTGGGCGTGGATGGTCGTGGTTGAGGTCCGGCAGGGAACACTGGGCGTGGATGGTGTGGTTGAGGTCCGGCAGGGAACACTGGGCGTGATGGTCGTGGTTGAGGTCCGACAGAGAACACTGTGGATCGCGAGTCGCAGTTGAGCAGGAGGACGAGGAGGACAACGAGAGGAGCAGGACAACGAGAGGAGGAGGACAACGAGAGGAGGAGAGGAGAGGAGAGGAGAGGAGAGGAGAGGAGAGGAGAGGAGGAGGAGGACCAGGCAACTGACATAAAATCTAACAACCCTCACCTGGCAGGTGGGGAAAAAACTTGGTAACTTTGTCCAGGAATTGGGACTCTTGACTTTTGATCAGCAATTGACTTGCGATCCATGAGAAACTTGGTTCATGAGGCAACACGACCAGGCGGGCCCCTTCTGAAGTGACTATCATCTACCCTACAATGGCTTGGAACAGCCCTATCATATTCTACATTCTCACACTTTTGGTTAACCCATGTTAACCCCATTCGTTGATACTAAATCCCTATTCGTTTCAACAAATTTGATCAATTTCCCTATGATTCTCGCTGGTTAAATCCTCGATGCCAAGGCACTGGTCAAGATGAGCAGCTTTTGGGAGGCCATCGGCATGCTTTGCAGCCCTGGCGCGAGGTGCTTTGGAGCTTTTGTGGGTTGATTTCATGGGAAATCCTATGAAAATGGGTTTATTTCATGGAAAATCCCAATCTGTAAATGGATGAGAACTAGGGGTGCCCCCATTTATGGAAACCTTTGTCATCGTGGCCCCTGAAAGGGCTTTGACCCAGCGAAACTGCAGGCTGAACCACCAAACAACTTAACAGTTTGAAGATGTTTTAATCATTTCGAAAACCAGCAACAAGCAGGTCTTAACATCTTCATGATCAAGTTGTACCACCAGCAACCTGCAGGTTCTACGCGCTTGGCACTTCGATGCCGAAACCGTCTCTCAACAGTTTGAAGATGTTTTAAGTGCATTTAAGCTTTCGGCATCGAAGATTTGGTTTATTTTGGTTTTAATCATCTAACATGTTGGTTTTAATCAGCAAAAGGTAGGTAGTTTTCGGCATGCGGCTGACCAGGCTGATACGGCGCCCTTGGAAGGGTTGCCAATTTTGAGATGTGCCATTTACGATCCCTTGGAAGGGTTGCAAATTTCAAAAATGAGGCTTGCGGAAATGGTGGTATAGGATTTGATTTTTTTGAGTTTTTAACATGCTGCACATGCTGTCGGATGATCATCAGGAGGGGTGGGGGTGGGGAGTGGGGGGGGCGTATTAACGTCCCTGACGAGCACTTCCTTTACGTTACGGAAGATGCAAGCGTTGCGCATGCTGTCAGTTGTGTCAAAGATTGTCCCCACAAAAGGTTCAAGTTGGCCCAAGTCAACCACAAACAAAATATCTTTACTAAGACTAAGACTTATCATTTTCGAGGTCGTTTGTGGGATAAATCCTATAGAACCATTGTTGCTGGTACTCAGCAAATGGATGGAACATGGAAACACTTGAAAAAATGGCGACCTCCGTCGATGCTCCACAAAAAAAAATGCACAAAAAAAGGTACACTTGGGCCTACAGCTGGACATGGCGTCACGACGCTGCCTTGTTGCAGACTGTGGCTTCTGCGTTGCCACAAGCGCTCTGGCACCGCTAGCGTCGAGAAGAAGAAAAAACTGGAAGAGTGAATGTCGCCCTGATATGATTCGGATGATTGAAAATCATAAATTTCTAATGTTTTCTTTTGGACCCTTGAAGAGCAAAATCGAGTCACCGCGCAGGCGAAACGCAAATTTTCACTCTTGAGTCACACGCCTGCCAATCGAAATGAATGTCCATGTTGCAAACAATTTTTGACGACTCCTGCAAATACCAGCATTTTGTCTCTTAGCCTCAAACATCAGAATTTCAAATTCGTCACCCTTACAAGGGCGCCGAGTCAACCGGTTGCCTAGTTTTCATCAGCTAATTTAGGACTCTTAAAGGGCAATGGTGTGGTGATAACCACCAAAGTGTGGAAATCAAACATCTGGAACAAAAAAGGGAAAGCAATTGGCATTTCAACAACAAAATGTTGGGATGCAAATACCTACTTACCCTCTGGTAAACTAACATAACTATGGAAATCACCATTTTTAATGGGAAAACTCACTATAAATGGTCCATTGTCAATAGCTATGTTAGTTTACCAGAAGGTAGTTGAAGTTCATAGTTTCCTGCAAAGGCAAGCCTTTCCCTGACCCGAACGACATCCCAGGCGTGAAGCATGGGCTTAGTTACCGTTAGACAATGGGTGAGTATCTGTGAGTCAGAAATTCAGCTGATTTATAGTGGTTTTATTGGGATTTATGGTGGTTTCAATGGGATTTATAATCTAGTTGGTGGTTTCTAGTCAGTTGGGATGATTCTTCCCAATATATGGAAAGTCATAAAACATGTTCCAAACCACCACCCAGCAATTCATACCAAGCAAATACCCAAGAGAATAAGCATCTGCTTTTGGATCTTCCAGCATAGTCTTCAACACACTCTCCACTCATCTATTACCAATGTCTGCATTCCTCTGCGCGACTAGCAACGAGACTTGCTATGAAGGACAACATGACGTTGTTTTTGCATTCCCTGGGTGTATTGTCACACTGTAATGCCACTGAAAGCTCCGACAATGTCACTCCAAACGATGTCAACCATGTCAAGGCATGGGCGACAAGCTCTATATGAGTACTCGCATCTTTCGGTAAGTCAGGGTCGGTCACTGCGAAAAGAATCCCCCGGCCGTGTAAAATACATCCGATGACGTGCGCGCGTGGGCGTTGAAAATTTGCAAATTCCTTCGCCTTCAGCGCCCTATGGCGCGGAAAGGCGAACTTCCCTTGGTCCATCCCGTCCACTATCAGTAAGAGGTCCGTTCCGTTCAAACATGGCAAGAGACATGGCCGGCTGAGCATTCCATGGTGACTCCATATAGCGAGCTGCCGGCTGAGCCACTTCTTGAGATGAGCCACCAAATAGATTAGATGATCCAGCAGAGACTGACCATGTTTTTTGGATGTTTTTTTGGCGCGATCAGGAGTCCTGAAAAGTTCTTTAAAATTCTCTAAACTTCCGAAAACTCCCAAACATTCCAAAAGATACAAACAAATCAAACAACAACCAAATAATTTCAAGAAAAAATGAACCATTTGTTCAAAACATTCTGAGATATTCCACAACATCCTAAATCATGCCAAAACATATATAGATATAGTGAAATTTAAATGCATGATTTTGAATTTTGAATGTTTGCTTTTTCTTCAATCATGGGGGCAACCCTGCAATGCTTTCCCAAGACTATCCCACTGAAGAATACCCCTATCCTCGCAAAGGAATCCTAAGTACACACAACTGCATTCCTAGAGATACAATCCTACAGTTGCAGTATGATTGGAAATTCCAAGAACATCCAAGAACAACCTTACCATGGTATTGGTCTCAAACATCTCAAAAGATCTCCAGGGTAATTTGGACTTACCCTCTGGTGAACATACAAAAAACGAACTGGAAAATCACCATGCTATTAATGGGAAAACTCACTATTTCTATGGCCATTTTCAATAGTTTTTTGTATGTTTACCAGGCCGGGTACCAACCAGTTGCTACAGATCTGGTAGATCCACTTCCGCCCCACCGAAATCTGCACCTGAAATCGTGGCGAAGAAACCTTGCTGTCATGAAATGGGAAAAATCATGGAAATATCATGGAAATTTGGAGCAGTCATCACATCTATCATGAGAAAATAATGGGAAACTAACAGTGTATGCATGCGTTCTTTAAAATGTTGAAACTCGCTGGTATGTCGAGGTGCGATTTTTCATCTTGACCGTGTTTTCGTTGCTTATAAGCCAATGCTTTGTTCCAATATCATCACTGGACGGGATAACGGGACTTACCACTCGCCTTCAGAAAGGATTCTGGATTTGTTTAAAGGGAAAATCCATCTATATCTATAAATGTCATCTATAATGTCACATCTTGTGGAAATATTTATAGTCGCTGATTCATCCTTTTTCTTCACCTCTGCCAATTTCGCATCAAATCCCTTTCTTTGGTTCTTCTGTGAACATCTGCGAAGTGATCTCGCGTGGTGCAACTGAACCGATGCTTAGAGCCACCATTATTCAAGTCTTGGGTATGCCAATTCGAAGTTTATTTCTGGGTAATTTCGTATCAGGATGTATCAGGATGAATGCTGTCCTTTTGCCTCATGTTCCTCCAATAGTCTATGTGACATCGAGTCCTAGCTGGATCAGTGATCTCGAGCACTGTATCGAGGTATTGGTGGGATGTACCCATGAAATCCCCTATCGAAAATGGGTGGATCCGCCCATCGATCCATGAAAATGGATGAAAAAGTGATGGTGTTTTTTTGTTGGATGTTACTAATGGGTATATATATATATGTATGGATACACAATGATATGCATGGTGATTGCACCCCACAGCATAAATCTATATAAGTCTGATAGGTTTGATTATATATATATGCAGTATATATACTGTGAGGGCCCATGGCCTTGAAGCTTCCAAGGTTTCATTTTAGGAGGCTGGAAATGTAGGCCCTGTATCAGTGATGGTTCCAAGCCGTGCTTGTCATAGTATAAACACTACAGGTTCACATAATATATATTTATAAACTGTTTCTTGATACTTTTACCAGAAAACTACCCAAACATCTTCACATGCAACGCAGATGGTACAGGAAATGCATCAGGGCAGCTGGGATGACCAATGGGTTCTGCAGCCTTTTTGCTACAAAAGCCTCAAGCGTTTGGAACCCACCGTGGTTCAGCTACTTCTCTTTTTACCATGTCGGATGATGCAGCTGCCACTGCACCAGCTGCCGCAGTGCCAGCTGGAGCTGCACCACTCACTCGTGGACAAGACCAGTTGCCAGCCTTACGCGCAGCAAGGGCCGTGCTGAAGCAGCAGCTGAAAGAATCGACCAAAGAGATTCGCAAGGAGGCAGGTGCCACTCAAATTCTCATTCTTGTGGGGGACATGAGCCCTGAGCTTGCCAGGGTTGATGCATGTCAACAAACGTTGGCCATGTGACTGCATGCGCGCCTGTCAATATCTTTCTTGCCAGGTTCGCCGCAGATCTCGTCTCATGAAAAAAGCCCAAGGCTTAACGACGGGTGACCTGGCTTGGCTCATTGCTCGCCGTGCAGCTGAGTGAGGTTACAGCATTCATGCTTCCGAAAAGGATGCGGTTGAGCTGCAGCAGAAATCGTCCTCATTTTCTTCAAAAGCAGAAGGTGAGCTATGCGGATGCATACGCCGAAGGCGTTGAAGTCAACATCCTTGCGCCTGTTTGAAAAAAGCCGCTTATTGGGTCATCAAAGTGACTGTTTGGAAAGCCAAGGGCGACATGTCAGGGAGTGTTACGTTCGAAAATGTTGCAAGGAGAGACAAATGTGAATTCAATCAAGGCATCAGGTTCAAAGGTTCCCATGTTGAATCCTTCGCCAATCCCAATTTCATGTGCCGAAATCACTTTGGGTGTTTTATCTTTTGCGGCCTCTGGCAAAGTCAGAATTCTCATGGCCATGCGGTTTGAGCTGATCAAATGTTCCGCCCTTGCCATTTTACCCTTGGTGTGGAGAACAGATTTTGGAGCCAAATCCTATAGACACGGAGCAAAATAAAGTTAAAACATTTCAAAATACTGTTAGGAGCTTGTTGAGCAAATCCCATAGGCACGGAGCCAAATAAGGTTAAGACATTTCAAAATACTGTTAGGAGCTTGTTGGGCAAATCCTATAGGCACGGAGCAAAATAAGGTTAAGAAAGTCCACATAATAAGAAAATCAATAGAATCATCTAATTCTTTTGATTGTGAATTTCCAGGTTCTTAACCTTATTTGCTCCAATTCCATTAGGATTGCAGTCCGGAAGTCTTCCCTGTATTTTTCGAATCCTTAACCTTATTTGCTTCACTTACATTGGGATTGCACTCTGGAAGTCTTACCCTTATTTCGCCACCCCTTACCCTGATTGCTCCATTTACATTAGGATTGCACCACGCAAATTGACACTCACCTCCCGGAGCCTCATCCTTATCATCTCATCACACAATTTTCAGCATATTGCCGGATGTGGCGGCAGCTCGGCTGCTGGCGGCTGTGGCGGCTGTGGCGGCTGTGGCGGCTGCTGCTGGCTATGGCGGCTGCTCGTGGATGCAGCGGCTGTGGCGGCTGCTGCTGGCTGTGGCGGTTGCTCGTGGATGCGGCGGCTGTGGTGGATGCGGCAGCTTGGTGGATGCGGGTTGCTATGGCAGAGGCCATCGGCTTCAGCGCCATCACCTTGAGGGAGGGTTCACATCATATTGGCACTTGTTGGCTAGATTTTCCTCCTAAGTTTGCAAGTAGATGAGATTTGGCATTGGGTTGTTGCGGCTGGCCGTGGCTAGGGCGCCTGCGTTTCTTTCGTTTGTGTCTTGTCCTCCTTGTGGTCTTTGTCCCTGTCTTCTTGTATCTCTCCCCTGTTTCTCCCCTCGTTTGTTTTCCTGCCATTGTCGCCCTGTGCAGGTGCCTACAGCGACCTCGAGCTCTACACGCAGCGGCCCCTTGGCTTGCTTGTGGTTGCTGCTTGCTGCTACTGCTGCTGGTGTTGCTGCTGCTGTCGCTGTTGTTTGTTGCTGGCCTGGCTGCTTCTGCTGGTTGCTGCTGCTGCTGCTGGTTGCTGCTGCTGCTGCCGGTTGCTGTTGCTTCTGGTGGCTGTTGCTGCTTTTGTCTTCCTGTCGCTGTTGTTCTTGCTGCTTGTGATTGTTCTTGCTGTTGGTGTCGTTGTTGGTGCTGCTGTTGCCCCTTTTTTGGTACTCTTTCTCTCTTTCTCTTGCTTTCTTTCGCCTTGTTTCCCTCTCTTCTGCTTGCCCTCTCTCTCTCCCTGTCCTGCTCGTTGTCTTTGTGGCTGTTTGTCTTGTCTGTTCTCTCTTCCTTGTTCTCTCCGTCTCTGTCTGTCTCTGTCTCTATACTCTCTGACCTTGACCTCTACTCCCTAGCCCGGCCAGCACTATCACTTCTGACTGCGCCAGACTGAAGTGACAGAATCAGTTTGACTCAAAGTATGACTCGCAGTATGAATGCAGTATGAATCAATGAATGAGATAAGCAGGTAAGAAATGGCGGAATGATGGCGGAATATTTGATCTACTTGAGCTGAGCTATGGTATGGTATATCTTACACATTGTCCAGTTGCAGCCGCATTGTCAGCCGCAGTTTTTTTTTGAGCAGCCTTGTAGAAAACAGCCCAGGAGTCACAACCTATATGGTAATCGATCTAAAGGTCCTTGCAAAGAGTTTTAATTGCGAAGACCGTTCATGTTATGCTGGAAACCCGTGCGAAAGTTTTTTTTCGCGTTCGCGAAAGTAACCTTTTCATCCGCGAAAGTTTCGCGAACGTTGGACATTGTCCTCATTCTGTCACGGGCTGCCACCCACTGCCGCCCGGGGTCTGGCAGGAGAAGGGCACCGGAGAATTTCGGTTTGGTTCTGGTTCAGTTGCCTGTGTGGTGGCTTCATAGGTAGCAGCCGAGCTTCCAAAGGTGAGGCTTCGCGACAGCCAAACACCATGGTCCTGAAGCACATCCTTGCACCTGCCGCTGTCACTGCCCCCTGATGTTTTTTGAAGTGTCAAGAAAGAAGCCCCACATGCAGCAGCCAAGTTTCCAAAAGGGAGGCTTTGCAAGAGCCAAACACCAAGGCCCCTGGTGTTCGCTTTTCCTAATTAAATGTTAAAGGAGCCGCTGTCACTGGTCCATCCGTTTTGCATGTTTCTCCCGACAACATAGAAAGTACCCAGCCCCATATAAAAACCTCTCGCCCCGAAATCAAAGTTGATTGTTTCATTGGACCTGGATCCGCGGCAGTGACGCTGTACTATATTTGGATGCCAGCAAGTCTCCAGTTTGCGAAAAACAACATTGATTTAGAGGGGCATGGGGGAGGATGATTGTATGACTTCTTTCCCTCTGCCTCTGATTGCATTTCATTGCCTTCGTTTCTGCCGGTGCTTTCTGCATATATCTCTCCGCCTTGTTGCTTCCATTTCTGCAGCTCAGGTTTGTGGCCCATCGCAGACACTCGTGGGGGACAGAAAAAGGGCCTGATTCGGCAGCATGAGCCAGTGTCGTACTTGTGGCCCCTCCTTGTGTGTGTATGTGTCTCTGTCTCTACATCACTGTAGTTGCAGCCAGGGGTGCCACCGATTTCCGATTCATTTGCAGTCACTAGAGTTCATTCCTCAAGTGTTTTTGTTTCCAACAATTCCTCTTATGTCATAGCCATGGTTGGCAGGGTTGGCATGCTATTGAGCGTTTGGCGTGCTGGGCCCACTGTTGTCATGTTTCAAAATGCAGCTCTGCTCTGGCTGTATGAATCAGAATGGTTCAAAGCAGCAGGGTTGTAGACGACGGCGTACCTATTGTTCTCAAAGCAGGTTCAAAAATAGATAGCAACAGGAGACAAACCATGTAAACTCATGCTACAATACATATCATATAGGTATAGCAAAACCTTCAGCCAGACAGTTTCAGTAGATCCTTTACTCATGTCAGTAGCCGCCGAAGCCGTGGCCTGCTTGGCAGAGAAGAAGGTGACAGAACTCCGAGCAGCCCTTCTGCTGAACAAAAAGCACATACGAAATTGCCAGCAGCAATCTC